AAGTCTGATTTCTCAACAATTTGTACATTAGTTGTACGTCCTCCAAACCCACTAGAAATAAAGTTTATCAGCCCATTAGGAGTACAACTCACAAGATACACTTTTTATATTCACTCCATGTTTTAGCCTGATGCAGTGCATTTGAAGGTTTTTCAATTTCAACTTCAAAGCAATCAATAATTGATTGTACATTTTTGTAATAGACTTTAAATTGATTTGGTACTAATTTTTTGATTTTCCAACTGGGAGGCCAAACAATCAACTGTGTCATTAAAGGAGCCATTACTACAACAGTTTTATCAAAAATTTTAGATATGGCACTTGTGCTTTTACCAAAATCAATTCCTATTCTTGAAAACTGATCATTTGTCCTAATTTTTTTCATTGTGATTAAAACATCAATGTAATCCAGTCCACCTTCTTCAACTAATAAATTTACAATATAGAAACAGTCTTCAGGCAAACCTAAGAAAAACCGACTATTGTTCTCTAATTTAGATATTTCTAGTTCCTCTTTTGATGTCTTCAGTCTTGCTCCATTGCTTTCTGATGAAGTGCTCGATAGCTGCAGGGAGGAACTACCACTTGAGCCATTAGTGCTATCACTACAAATCCCTGTGCACTTTTCAACCAACTGTTTTCGTTTGGGATGACTAGTGGCAACAGCCTTTTCTGCAGTATGAGGTAGTGTGCTGGTTGACACTGTTTTCGTATCAACTATAACTTGGACTCCTTTGGTTGCTTTCTTCAGGGGTGGCAAACTCGAGTTTTGCTGGCAAGATTCATCATGATGCAGATCTCTGCATATATCTGGCTGCGATTCATCAAATAATTTTGCCCTTGGTTTTCTCTTGCAGTGAAGCTTTTTTCCTAATGTTTCTAACATCTCAGATTTCCTCTTTTTTGATGGTGGACTTAATCGGGACGTACCTAAACTCTGAACTGTCAGGTTCCTGTGTGGTTTCACGCCGGGTTTTAGTCGTAACATCTGCCCAATTGTCTTGTAATATTGCCGGTTTTCTGCACCATCTGCCAACTGAAAATAAACCGAGATTTAATATAATATGAAAAACTTTAGCTCTGTTAATAAACTTACATCAAAATGATCTTCACAACAGTATAACATAGTGGTAGGAATGGGACCTTCAACACTTGCAGCCTGGTACCAAAGAATCCTCGTGTCAAGATCTATCGGAACTGATAAGAATATTTTATCAGGCGAATTAATACTTGTGTTTGAACACACTTTAATCAGACACTTTTTTACCGACATTTTGTTGTAATGTTCAAAAGATTTCAATATATAATATAAAGGTTACAAAACGGATAACACAAAAATCAAATCCAAGCGAATAACCAAAATTTCTGTGTTATATGCCGCGGTTATAATATGGTTCAAGATGACACACGGGTTGATGACGTCAGTTACACGAATCGCTTGAACGCGTTGGTTTTAACCATAACCGCGGTTTTGTTGCAAGTTGTTTATTTTAGAAAAGCGCGTATATAATCTCTGATTATTTTTATTATCACTTAATAATCGGTGCTTTTTCGTCTACAACTGTATATGGAAAGTTTAAATAAGAAACCTTTCATAATATTCATGGGAGAAATGTTTTTTCAGATTTTTTTTTAATGATGGAACCATGGCTTTGTAGCTATGATAACTTTCAATTCTCTAAATTTTTCCGCATGTCAAAGAAAACATTTATTGATTCAGCAGAAATGATGAAAAAAGAAATTAGCAAAACCGTATACAGGTGGATATCATCTAGTGAGTTTATATGGCCATATTTTAATATTCTTGTGGAATATGGCTACACAGGATACTTTGTTAAGCATAGGAACTACATTTAAAGTGTCCCCAACAACCGTAATGAGTATAACTAATAAGGTGCTCCAATTTATGGTAAAACTGAAGTCAGCCTGTATCATTTTTCTCAAAAATGAAGCTGAAGTACAATAACAATATCCAATACCCGGCAAAATTCAAACTTGACACATTTCAAATAATAACCAGAAATATAAAACTACTCTTGAGTTGGGAAATACCACAATTTTGCGGTGATGACTATGACATATAACAGCTGATTCGTGACGTCACGGATCTTATAACCAAACTGATAACTACACTCGCTTGAACGGATTGGTAAATACCAACCCAAAATGGTAAATACCATTTCCATTTGGTTATCCGCTTGAATTTGATTAAAATCAACAACACCAAACACGGTACGCAACACTGTCACTGTCAAAAGTCAACGGTTTGACCCTCGTTGATCCACAATGTTGCCAAGTTATGTCGACCTACAGCTATACATATATAATATAGACAGGTACACCATTGAGACAGCACTGTTGATCGGAATAAAGAAGCGTTGCTAAGTCGTGAACTTTCATGAAATTCCCTAGTGCATGGCAATAGCGCTGATGCTTATCCTTCATAAAAATATCGTCACATTCTAATGAAAACCCACTTTGGTGGTATGAATTTCAAATGTATTTTTTCGAGCAAATGAGTGAAAAAAGCGCGTGCAAAGTGTATACTAATTGATAAATGGTGTAAACAATCGATTTCAGCCATCAATAGGACAATATCACCAAGTTGGAAAATACCCCATTAGTTTCAAAATAAAATAGGAGGCCTTGATACCAACTTGACGTTTCTTGGGAGATAGTTTGTCAAAAATGTTGTCGTCACTACTACCTTTTTTTTGTAAAAGTCAAGTCAAAAGTTTTTTTTTCCATTTTTGAGTTTTGCGAAATGGAACTTGACAATGGTGAGTTCGCCGCTATTATTTTTGTGTACCGTAATTTCACACAAAAATAGTCCTACCCCACAACTATGGTCTCAAAGCAGTATATTTTTAAAACATTAGGTGAATTCTTTAATTCACCGGTTGATTCCACCACTGATGGATGCGGTTGACACTGTTGACAGCTTTGTATGGTGACGGCAGCAACCGGTTGAATTAAAAGGACGGATGTCTGGTCCACCGGTGGCACTGGTTGTTCAACCGGTGAATTAAAAAATACACCTATTTGTAAATCATATTATGGCGACATCTATTATTAAGTAAAGAGACTAGACGCAAGCTAATAGTCTCCAGTAAAACATTTCCGGCCCGCATCGCGTTTCGTAGGAATCTTCATTTCGCTTTGACGCTTAGTATCGTATACATCAAGTACAAGGTGTTTATTTACCTGCAAAGTGCAAACTTTCGACGCTGCATGTGGTAAGTACTTCAATTTTTTTAATTATTTTAGTTTAATAGTATGAGCTATTGTATTATCTCGATATGCAACTAGTTATTTGTTGAGTTTCTCGTGTTTTTTCTTCTCGAGCAAAAACAAAAATTACATTTCAATGTCAACTATGGTCCAACCTATTTTTTTGGACCATAGTTGTGTTTATGAATGGGTTATATCTAGTTAACCTATTAAATGGTATGGACCATAGTTGCAACCAAAATTCTTGTTTATAGACTTTATTACCGTGTTTATACCTTTTATTATCCCGAACTATTTTGTTTCAGTAGGTAGGCGATGGCACCGCCAAACAAAGTTTTACGGCGCAAAATAGGTGGCAGACCATATACCCCGTACAACACGGATGCAATGGAAAGATGTCTACATGACGTCACAAATCACATACTAACTCAACGGAAAGCTTCAGAAAAGTACAAGATACCTCGTAGTACGATAATACTGAAGCTAAAAGCTCATCGTAATAGCAACGTACAAGTTCCAGGTCGTAAATGAAAAGAATGATAAAGAAAAATCATTCGTCGATAACTTTGTTCTACTGTGCGATTATGGATTTCCCCTAACTTTGTTTGATCTGAGGTGTGTTGTTAAGATGTATTTGGACAGCCGTGGTGCCACAATAAGTGCATTCAAGAATAATTTTACTGGAAGGCGTTGGGCCGAGTGCTTTTTAGAGCGCCATAAAAAATAACTTTCTCAAAGATTCTACAGCAATATCAAAGAGTTCGTGCAGCCGTCAATGCAGAAATAATAAATAACTTCTTTGAGCATTTGGCAACTGAAATTAAAGATGTCCCCTCAGACTGTATCTAATTATGATGAAACAAACTTGGTCGATGACCCTGAAAAAAAAAGAGTTCTTTCAAAACGTGGGTGCAAATATCCAGAAGCTATTAAAAACTCGACCAAAGCAGCCATAAGTCTTATGGTATTGGCAATGCTGCTGGAGAAGTCTTGCTGCCCTATGTTAATTACAAAGCGGAAAAAATTTGGGACACCTGGACAGCATATAACCGATATAACCGTTCAAAATATGGGTGGTTTGAAGGCAGTAGCTTTGAAGACTGGTTTTTTTCTTGGTTCTACCGACTTTAAAAAAGCAGAACGGAAAGAAAATTCTTATCGGAGACAACCTAAGTTCTCATATAGGTGTAAAGGTCCTAAAGGCCTGCGAAGAGAACAATATCGCATTCATTGCTCTTCCTCCTAACTCAACACATCTTACACAGCCGTTGGATGTTGTATTCTTCAGACCTTTCAAGTGTCATTGGAGGCAAATTTTGGATTCCTGGAAAGCTACACAAGACGGTCAGAGAATTCCAACCATACCAAAGGATGTGGTTCCCTATCTTTTGAATAAGCTATGGAAAAAAATTCATTAAAACGCTGAAAAAAATTTAAAGTCAGGTTTTATGAAAACCGGCATGTTTCCCCTTTGTGCAACTAAAGTGTTAGAACGATTACTAGGTTATACTTGCCATGTTGTCGAAGAAAATACTCCCGTGCTTGTTTCGGATGTCTTTAAACAATATATTGAAAATAAAAGAAAAACAGCCGTTGACGAAACTGGAGAAAACAAAAAGAAAGAAACAACTTGATGTTCGAGAGCAGGAAAAAGCATTTCATAGGTAAAGACTTTACTTTTGCTTTCTAACATCAAGAAACGCAAACGTAAGCAGAAAAAGAAAGTGGTAGTAGATAGCCCAAGCAGAACCGAAGAGGAAATAGAGAATATGCTTTTACCTTCTGGCTCCAAGAAAGAGAAAGTCATCAAGAAAAAGACAGCGATAGTAGACAGTTCAAGCAGCGATGAAGAGGAAGTTGATACTAAGTTTTCTTTGGCTTCTAGTTCTTCACTGAATTTATCAGAAGAAGAAAAATCTGAAAATATTACAAGCGCAAACCTCAGAAGCTTCGAGGGTTCTCTACCCGAAAAAGATGATTTTGTTGCAATTGAGTATGATGGTGATTACTGGCCGGGGCATGTGGAAAACTGTGGAGATGGCCAGAACAGGAGGATTGCATATTTTATGCCAAAAACGAAAAAAGTTTTCCATAAATGCTCCAAAACAAGTTTCAACAAAACGTCATGTTTTCAGTGCCCTGCCCTGAGCTTGCTTAATTAGGTATAACAGTTAATATAGTTTTTGTTTTGTTTATTTTAATTTTTTAACTTACCTTTTACTTCGATAAGTTGTGCTACAAAAGCATTTTTTAGTATTAATCTTACGTTTGTATTATTTTATTACCATAGAAATTGCACCTATTGAGTGACTATTTTTATTTAAATATGAAAAATTGTGAATCAAATATTTTTTTCTAGTATAATTTTCATTGCTTGACACTATTGTTGGGTTATATGCTTCTAATAATAGTTACCTATCGACTTATTGCAATAAATTCCTTATGGATCATAGATGTGTACAAAGTCCACAACTATGGTCTAAAATTTAACAAAAAAGTTGTTAAACTCACAACAATATTTTGAAAAAAACAAAACATATCAACTAACTTCTTAAAAACAAGTCTTGCTACTCCATAAGAATGTTTTAAAGTAAGTCAGGTTGTAAGTTATAACGCGTATTCGAAAACGTCACTAAAAATTGGACCATTCTTGTGTGAAATTACGGTACGGGTTCTGTAATGGAAATACTTTAGCGGCTTATCAGGTGTATCAACGTAGATTTCCTAACAGACGCCCACCTACCCCAAAGGTTTTTACGCATTCATTTCTAAGACTTCAAGAATATGGAATTGCCAAACTTACGGAGTTAGAGGCCATAGTGTTCGGCATACTGTTCAAGAGGAACTGGAAGTGATTAATTTGGCGTTAGATAATCCTAGTACGAGTACTAGGCGGATTGCAGCCCAGTTACCATGTTCCCAAAGTCTTGCGTGGAGAATTTTTAATCGGGAAGTTTTACATCCTTACCATCGGCAAAATGTGCAACCCGGCGACAAAGTGCAACTGCGAAATTTTTGTGAGTGGTTACAGCAAATGCATAATCAAAATGTAGATTTTATTGATTTGGTTTTGTGGTCAGATGAATCGTTTTTTACGAGGAGTTGAACCTCCCCGTTCTGTAAGAATCCACTCATTCCAACATAGACTTTCTAGAAATGCGGCATTTTCACTGGCCAACTGTTTATGCGCGTATTGCCACAACGTTTAAATGCAAACCCATACGTAGCTTTTCTAGAGAATTGCGTAGAAAATGTGTTAGATCATGTTTCATTAGCAACGAGAGTACGAATGTAGTATCAGCACGACAGTGCCCCACCGCATGTTGATTGATTTGAACCCCTTGGATTTCTTTTTGTGAAGCGCGTTTAAGCATCTAGTGAAGGTTGAACAAATTAATACTGTTGATCAGTTACAGTTACAACAAATTTTGCGGAAATACGTTTTTCATTATTAAAAACATGCCGCACTTGTATCAGTCAAAAAGGTGGTCTTTTTGAACATTTATTGAAATAAAGCTTTAATTAACTAATGTTTGTTTTTTATTTTTACGAAAACAATGCACTCTAGGAAAAAACACAAGAATAATTATTTGTAGAAAAACAGTGGCGTGCTACTTGGGAAAATAATGCCACTAATCCCCTGTATCTCCGCCACTGGTGCACGTTAATTTTAAGTAAAGACTTTGGAATGTGGATAATACTTGGGTAAATCCGCATACCAAATTTTATTCGGTATGTGAATCACCCTGTCTATCTCAGATAGGATTTTCAGAGTTAAGCCAGAAGATTATCATTCTGATTTTCCCGATATCCATACTTTAGTGAATCAGGGGGCATTCTAGGTTCAGTACTCCTACCTTCTGTATATATCAGATATTCCTGCTTTAACCGATGTAACGGATGCAGCATTTGCAACTAACAAATATCTATTAACTTCTGTTAGTTAAGTACAGAGTGATACCAAAACGAATTGAAATCGATCCACGTTTGCTTTACAAGCAAGTCCTCAAATAAGGATTATCGGCACCATCATACCAGTGGAGTCAGACGCTAAATAAGTATTTAGGTATGACCCTTGACACCAGGCTCAAGTGTAAGCAAAAGAAAAGAGGAAAGAACTAAACCTCCGCTACAAGCAATATTATTGGTTATCGGGGAGATCCTAAAAACTATCGCCCCATAACAAAATCATGATCGATATTCAGATCTTAAAACCAATGTGGATCTATAGAGGTTTACTTATACGGCTGTTCCAAGAATTCCAATATCGAAATTATTCAAAGATTCCAAAATAAAGTTCTGAGGATCATGGTAAATGCCCCTCGGTATGTTCGTAGTAGGGACATTCATCGTGATTTGAATATCCCTCTGGTCATCGACGAGATCAAGAAAGTAGCAACCCAGCACTAAGGAAGGCTACGTCAACACTGCAATGCAGAAGCTTCTCAGCTACTGGACAACCACAATGACGTCCAACGATTGTAAAGGACCGAGCCGTATGAACATGTGTAGTGTTTTGTGACAAAAGCAGAACATGTGCGCCAGCTCATAATTATAGTATTAATTATATGTTAAGATTATCTAAACGACATCAATGGATTGCCTCTTGTAAGGTCTTACCGGAAAATTAACGGTTAATTGAACTGGTCAGTTTTAATATTCTGGCATCAAAGATCTTCTAAAAGCAAAAAAATATCTTTATCTTTCACCTTTGAATGTTTCTGTGATCATATACTCGTAATTGGTGCTATCAGAATATGGATATTTTTATAATCGGTACTACAAATAAATCGTTCGATTTTTTTGCAACGGGCTTCTGGAACATTACTGAAAATTCAAATAACGATCAACATATTTTATTATTACTCGTATAGCAAGTATACCTGAAGAATTAACCAAAACGCTTATACTAGGGACGTTAAACGGGTTGTTTAGTTGATCGCCGTTAATGTAGTTGGTGCTTATATGAATAGGGTATTAAACATCACTAAGAAGTATGTAAATAACCCATAGCCCATCAATTTGCAATTAATCTACAAATTCAGAAAATATACATCTGATAATAAATTGCAGGCATATCGCTGAGCCTCTTTATCTACACTTTAACAATAAAATTCAAGGAAATTGTACATTGTAGACATGCTAGTTGTGCTCGTCGTGGCTATAGAAGGAATGTTCTATGAACAAAAAAGAAGAAAAATCCACCACGAAGGAATTTTTATTTTTCTGTGGTATCGATTTTACTCAAATATCGTCTTGACTACTCGTATGTGTTGTAATTTCCTAAATATCGATATTATACAAACATGATACATGAGTAGGTGGCACGAGTTTGTCAGAGTCACCTGTTCGCGCATTAGGGGAAAATGATCCATGCGGGCATAATGATTCCTCCCTTTATTTTTAATACCAATGCTGCCCTCTTTGATTCGAGTGGGTGTCTACAATCATTTGAGTCGCCATACTTAGTTCAGCACTGAAAGCGAACGTGGGAACAACGCCTTAATAAAAATATTTGTGAAAACAGGTTTTTGTGCTCTTTGATCTAAGGTAAGTGCTAATTAACATATTGTAGTAGCAGTGTTATAGTATTAGGAACATTTAATTAATATTATATAATATACTTAATATGGAAAGCAGAATGTACGGTCTCACCACTAAAGATGTGAGATCGATCACTTATCAGCTCGCAGAGAAAAATAATATTGTCCATCCGTTTTCCGAGGTAACATGTCTAGCTGGCAAAGATTGGTTGATCGGTTAAACGCAAGAGGCACCTTCAGATCTCACTAAGATCACCGTCAGCCGCTCGTGCTCGTGCTTTTAACCGGCCTGTCGTAACCAAATTTTTCATGTTGTTAAAATCTGTGTATGACAAAATACAGTTTCAAGCACATAGGATCTATAACGTCGATGAAACCTCTTTGAGTACCGTCCCAGGTAAAAATGTAAAATTCTAGCTCAAAGAGGCAGAAAACAAGTTGGCAGAATCGTATCTACAGAACGTGGTACGTCCACTACTGCCGTGATTTGTATGTCTGCATCTGGTTCATATGTGCCTCCTATGATTATTTTTACTCGTAAGTGAATGAAAGAATAGTTAAAAGATGGCGCACCACCAGGGACAGCATTCTATTGCAACGAATCTGGTTGCATGAAACTTGAGGTATTTTCGGTGTGGTTTGATCATCTTCTTGCCTTTGTTAAACCTTCCCAAGAAGATCCTGCACTTCTCAGTCTTGATGGCCACCTTTCGCACACAAAAACCATAAGTGTAATTGAAAAGGCACAAAATAATTTCGTGACCATTTTATGCTTACCGCCACACACCACTCATAAACTTCAACCACTAGACGTGAGTTTTATGTACCCGCTTAATCATTACCACGACAAAGCATTATAGAAGTGGTTTAACAATCTCCCTGGAAGAGTTGTAACCGTTTTCCAAATTTAACAAATCTTCAATGAATCTTACATCCAGGCCAGCACACCACTTAACGCAATTAACGGATTTAAGAAGACTGGAATTTTTCCATACGATCCCGATGTCTTCACAGACTTTGATTTCGTAGCTGCTGAAGTGACCGAGCAAAACGAACGTCAGAATGATGGTGTGCACGAGTAAAATGGTGACGGCCACGAACAAATCGAAGAAGTCATAGATGAAAATAATGGGGCCCATGAAGAAAATGATGAGGTCAATGAAAAAAGTATTGAAAACAACGAGCAAAATGACGCTTTACCAACAATAATTGTTCCACAATCCTACTTAGCTTTGGTTGATGAACCTTCGACATCAAAAAGTGGTTTTAACATTCTTCCAAGTGATGTTCATCCACTCCCTAAAATGGCACAAGAAAAACGTAGCTCAAAATCAAGGAAGCCTGGAGGCACAGTAGTTTTGACAAGTCAGACACGTCAGAATGATGGTGTGCACGAGTAAAATGGTGACGGCCACGAACAAATCGAAGAAGTCATAGATGAAAATAATGGGGCCCATGAAGAAAATGATGAGGTCAATGAAAAAAGTATTGCAAACAACGAGCAAAATGACGCTTTACCAACAATAATTGTTCCGCAATCCTACTTAGCTTTGGTTGATGAACCTTCGACATCAAAAAGTGGTTTTAACATTCTTCCAAGTGATGTTCATCCACTCCCT